CGTATGGAAGATCTCGATCGTGAATTGCAAATGAAGCTCGTAGAACCGTACCTAACGGAAGGTGTAGTGTTGCTAGAAGTCAAAGCGGAATCAGGAGGTAAAGAAGCTAGGAACTTAGCGCAAAAACTATTTAAAATGTATAAATCATATGCAAACTATAAAGACTGGGCATCCAGCGTTGTTTCATATGAGAAGTCAGATGAGGAGGGTATTATAAAAGGTTCTATGTTCATTGAGGGTTTAGGTGCAGTTGAATTTATGAAAGTGGAGACTGGGATACACAGTGCGAAAAAAGCCTCTGCCACCATGGAAAATGGCCAGAACATTCAAATTAGTACAGTAGCTGTAACTGTTTTACCAAAGCCGACGGAAGAAGAACTAAGTATCCCTGAAACTGATATTATCGAAGAAAAACTTCCCGATAACTTTGTTCGGATCACACACGCCCCAACCGGGTTGGTAGCTGAATGTCAGGAAAATAAATCGAGAACAAAGAATAAACATGTTGCCATTCAGAAATTAAGGACACTGTTGTTAGAAAAGCAAGATCAAACAAGCAACTGCATATCTGAGGTTGGGTGTTTATTTCTACAATCATGGATTATATAACAATTCATGTTAAATTGAGAATACGTTTTTATAACCATTTTATTATTGCAGATCTCTATGGCAAATGGAGGGCAAGAAGTTCGGACTTATGATTATTTACAGGATCAAGTAACAGAACATCGAAGAGGTGGCGGGACTGTTCAGAATTTGCAAAGGTTTATGCAAGGTAACGAAAAATTGGAGCAGGTCCAGGAGAATTTGTTAAAAGAGCAGACTTGCCAAACACTCATGGATGAAATCAATCAATATGCAGCAGAGTCAGTTAAAAATTAGTATAATTTGATTTAAAGATTTTATAAATAACATGACGGCTTTTGTTGCTGACTTATTAAATAATTCATTATGAAATAAAAGAACTCCATTTGTTTTCTGTAATCTAACACTAAAATCCTTATTGTCATCACTATCACCATCAGCCTATTTTCATTCTATGGGTTCTACCACTGCTAAACACCGCTCTATGTTTAAATTCACTCCACTCACTACCTTCACTCAAGGGCAGAGCCATCATACTACGCTGGGGCTTTTGGGCACACAATAATTTGGGCCCCTTTTGGAATGCTTCCTTTTTTTAAACGTTGCCCCACACTACGATTTCTTCTGTATCGTGGGTGTATTTACAAACAAAACATACACCCGGCACCCCGCACTTCGTTTGCCAAGGCGTGGTTTCCACTTTAGGAAAGAGAACCAATACAATAACTTGTTAAAAAAAGAAAAATACATCTATTGTAAGTAGTTTTTACAAGGGTGGAACCACTGATATGATATGTTATATATCTATGGGTGGAACGTAAGATTATCGCCGCCTTTTTTCTAAGGGGTAATATCATGGAATGTGTTCTCCCGCTCGAGTGAGGCGAAAAGGGTGTTTAGACTCTTACTAACTAAAAATCACCCCGTTCCTACTCCTGCTCTTCGATTCGGGGGCCCGGCAACCCGTTAAGTCCTCCACGGCAACATTATCACCGATCGCATGACGAGAGCAAAGAAAATTGAGATAATTTTTACAGGTTAATTTTTAGGTTTAAAATTACCATTACCTTTAAAAAGCGTTATATACCTGGGCCGTCTTCCAAGAAATATTACGTGAGCTTGGGCAACTAAAAACTAAAATAAGACTTATTTAATCTGTGTTCAACAGAACTTGACTCACTTGACTTGACTCTTGACAGCTGTCTCCAAAGACTACAATAAAATACTGTCAGTACTAATTACTATATCTGGCTGTCTCATATCTGTCCAAATGATCATCAGCTGTGTTTTATAACCTCTCTTTCTATGAGGAATATTTTTATTTACACGGCTTCATCATAAAATGTTTTATATTATAAAAACGCTTGTAATCAAAGTTTAAATTTTTTAAAAGCAATATTCATACACGAAAGCGATGTCTCTTGCAAGAATTTTATTCTCAAGGCGGCTATTTACAGCTGAAAACTTCTACATACTCCGTAAGTTTAGTTCACAAAATGCTTTAAATTTGTCTGAACCTGCCGTTCAAGCGTACTTAAAGCAATTAATGTTTGAACATGAACACCTGTGCCTTAATATGAAAAGGACTTATGAAGAAAACAGGCGCTTGTTCCAAATAAAACCAATCGTAAATGTATTGGAACAACGAGTCACATTATACGACAACATTGAAACGCTTAAAGAACTCAATAAAAAACCACATCACGATGATGAAATGAAAAAGATGATAAAAGAAGAAGCTGAAATATATTTAAAGCGCATTACGGAAATAGACATAGAATTACAGTCAGCGCTGCTCGAGCCCCAGCTCTCAGAGGGCGGCGTGCTGCTAGAGGTGACGGCAGGTGCCGGCGGGCAAGAGGCCATGCTCTTCGCGCGCGAATTGTTCGATATGTACGAATTATATGCCAAGTACAAAAACTGGCAAGTTTGTCTTGTCTCTCTTGAGAAGTCAGATATTGGTGGCATTAGAAAAGCTTCAATGTTCATTGATGGTGTAGGAGTGCCAGAATTAATGAAGATGGAGGCTGGTGTACACCGTGTGCAGAGAATTCCTGCTACTGAAAAGGGTGGGCGCATACACACAAGTACAGTATCTGTTGCAGTCTTGCCGAAGCCTACTGATATTGAAGCAAACATCTCCGATCGTGACTTGGTCATTGAAACTAAAAGAGCTAGTGGGGCTGGTGGTCAGCATGTGAACACTACTGACAGTGCTGTCCGCATCACCCATACTCCAACAGGAACAGTGGTTGAATGTCAGGAAGGTAGATCACAAATAAAGAATAAAGAGATTGCTATACAAAAGTTAAGGACACTATTATTAGTGAAACAACAAGAAGAACAACAATCTAAAATCAATAGTGAAAGGAAATCACAGGTTTGTGTCCTTTTATGTTTACTTTATTTACATTAACTATTTGAGTACCGTCATTATAGACTCAATTAACTCGTCGAGTACCGTATCTATAGAAACAATTAAAGAACAATAGGTTGCGGTCACCGGTGACCACTTGGTGTTTGACAGTTTAAAGAACAATAGGTTGCGGTCACCGGTGTCCTCGTGGTGGTTGACAGTTATAATAAATAAATTCTCATCATTATACATAACCACCTACAATGATGTAGGTACTTAAACAATGTTGTTTCCTTACTAAAACAACAAGAACAATGCATTTTAACGATACAAACCTGTAGGAGATAAAGATATTTATCTTAGAAGACTGTATGACGGCAAGTGTTCTTCGCTCCTATATCCAGTCTTTTGATTGGACACATTTATATAAAGTATAAGTATATAAGCAAGATTTGTAGTAAAATAATGTTTGAAATTTCGATTCTTAATTGTTTGCAGGTTGGTTCAAGTAACAGAAATGAGAAAATCAGAACATACAATTATCCACAAGACAGAGTTACAGAGCATCGGGACGGAGGTGGCACAGTTCACAATCTGAAGGGATTCATGGAGGGTGATAGCCAACTGGAAGAGTTGCAGCACAGCCTCCTCCGAGCACAGAAACGTCAGATACTCTTAGAAGAAATCAACCGCTTTGCTAAGTACACAAATATGAAGACAGTTGATAATAACTAACCAAATCAAGTAGATACTGGTAAATATTCTTTATCTATTAGTTAGTATAGTGAAAATTATTAACAATGAAAATATAAATATGTTGAACAAGAATATACTGGAATAAATTATTGCAGAAATAGATTTTACATTGTGATTTTATTACAACATGTCTTGTTTTACTTTCTTATTCTCATAACCTTTTGTAAAATTATATCCAAGTCAAATTATTTCCATTACCAAATATTCATTCTGGTGTTGTAAATATTAAAAAACACATTGAATTATTTCAATAATGATTTATTTTGTACAATCAAACAATCACATTTCAGTAATTAAGTAAAGAGTTCACGTCTAAGACATATACGTAAATGACAGAGATTCAAAATACTAAAATCTAATAATAATATAATTACAAATATATGACCACTCCGTGGTGTAATATTGCATTGATATAAGTAATTGAAGAATACAATAAAATTTTACTTTGAAATGTTCTCCTTAATTGCTTGTTGTTGCGGATGTTATAAAATACTTCCATCCCATTAATAATTTACTGGCAGGACGGAGCAAAGGTATCATTAAAATTAATTTACAACAGAAAAAAAACTGACAAAGTATAAACTAGAAAATTATGCATAAAGCCATTTCTTTTACAAAAGCTATATTATTATCTTATCAATTATTTTTTTTATTTTGCTAGTTATTTAATTTAACTAACACCCCACAGATGTTTGAGGATCATCCAATTTGTTGATATGAATATTTTTATTACTGCTTCCTATTGTGGCACAATGGGAGCATACTCTATCATTTAAAATTTGATATGTGGGAATGACATGTACTTTCTTTAACTACCTACCTAATCTAAAAGCAGAGATCAATGTAATTCACAATTTTATTAACACAATATAAACTATTTAGACGTTTTAAATATGTTTGACAAGTCTTTAAAGTTTTCTATGAACATAACTAATTATATTTCAATAAACTATGACATTTGATAACAAAACGTAATACATAGGTATTTTATAAGATTTATTATTTTGATTTGAGAATTTTAAAGGTACTTACATAGAACACAGGTATGATATTTTCTGTTGTTGACAACTTTGACTATTATTGGGAAGAGATTGAATAATTGAAGAACATCGCATCCTCCCATTTGTCAAAGATATCACCAGCCATAAAGGCGCGTTCACATTAACAGGTTGCTGATAGAACTACAAACTAGCTCATATCTAGAAATTCTAATGCTGGCTCTCAATGTGACCGCACCTTAAGTATGGCTTGTTTTACTTTGCAATGGTTTAACATGCAATATATGCACAATGGCTCTTAGCCACTTATAGGACATTCCAAAATCTACGCCAGATATCGAAGTATTAAAAATAGACTCAACGTGACCCATGTCTTGCTATTGCCCGGTAAACTGCCGCGTCCGCACATGTCGATATTGCTCTCCTGTAAAAAATGTTGTCTTTGTTAGTAACGGATCTAATCAATCACTACGTAACATTTGCTTGCAGGCATTTAATATTTTGTATCTGTGCGTTCGTCGTTCTGAAATAGAAAGGTATAATTTTCATCTAACTAGCTTTTACTCGGGGCATCGTTTACGTCAATAAAATCAAAAATGAATACTAGTTCATACAGTTAGGTATATGTTGCATGATTAACTGCAGTTCATCTCTGTACCAAAGTTGGTTTAACAGCTTAGACCAGAATGAATATAAACCTACTTTCGTTTGTTGTACTAACTGTGCAACTAACTGTGTCTAATATTAGTGCAGAAACATACCTCAGTATGATTCCGTATACACGAAGTAGGTTGCTTCCTGTACAAAGGATGCATATGCTTCAAGCAGGGCAGCGACTCGTTGTAGTTCACCTCGGTCGCGTCTACTGACATGGCGGCCACTTCTAGTTTCGGACAGTTTGCGTCTACGACAATCATTAGCATGTTGGTGTAGTTGACATGCTGTGCGTAGAAGGGCCGGTGGCATTTGTCATCCACTGGCACGTTCAGCTTCGCGTCGAGGTTGCTGTAGTCCGTCAGTTGGTACAGATACATCTCCCTGTCACAAGGAGTTGGCCTGGTTCGGTTTATCAACACCAGCTTCTCATAGTCTCTCTCCAACACTCGCATGTTCGGAGGTTTAGACATACTCGGATCGTCAGTCTCTTCATCGTTCTCGTAGCTCTGATACGCTATGGGATCAGAAAATATCTATCAGTTTGCTGTCAAATAATTCAAGTTCCATGCACGAGCAAAATGGATAGGACTGTTCATTTTTGCAAAAAAAAATAGAGAAAAATAAAATAAACATGCAGAAGAATAAAATATTTTAGAGATCTGTACAAGTTTAGATGTATGTAAATAGAATTTTACATAGGTAAATGGATTAAAGCAGAGTCAAAATATAAGTTTACTTATTTTCGGAAAAATCAAAAACATGACACATACGAGAAGTAAAAAGAAGAACAAAGAATTTGTAAATATTGGTCCTTAACTTTAAATTACCATAAAATAGCCTGAAAACATGCAAATCCAAATGATGTTATTTTACATCACGCCTTCCGTGCAAGGGAAGAAGATAGATCCACATTATACTCAGTACAACCACTTTTCCCAATTGAAAAGAGTTTTCCGACAGTCCCAATTTATTAAAATATCCCTCATTAATTCTACAAACATGCACATTCTCTTTCCCCCGTTAAGCAAGCCTACTCTCGTTCAATGGGCATGAAGCGTCTACAAATAAAATGTTCAAACGTGAATAAAAAGTTGATCATTTCGTAATCAATCGAGAATAAGCTTGCGTTCTATAAGAGTACACAACTAAATCTATTTGACCAAACATAAATCTATAAAAGTATTGTATCTATGTAATTGTCGACGTGCGTGTGTGCTCGCTCTACAAGTAACTCACCAGTGGGTGTAACATTCTCTGAAAAAAGATGGAGTCATTACTACTTTAGTAGAAATATCTAAGTCCAATTGTTGACTCCATTAATGAATTTTGCGTTCGCTACAAGTATTGTGATAACCAGCTAGGAACAGTAATGTTGAGTGCAGTTCAATCGTGGTGCACACTCATGCACCCAAATAACGTTCGTGTATTCAAAGTGACGAAGAGTTTCAAAGTTTTAACACATTTGACTAATAATACGTGTTTGTTCAATCTAAGGTAGACTAAAACCTAATAATTTTCAACATAATTATATTTCCATTTAACAAAGTCAAGTATATCATGCACAGAAACATTTATAAGCACAATTTAGTTTTCCGCGCAAAACAAAAATATTAATTTACGTCCATTTAAACGTATCGTTAACGTTCTACACAGTTTAGTTCGGCTATAAGTGCTCGTTGTCATGCAGACTGACAGTACATGCTGACAACGCTCAAGAGCAACATCAAATGCGCATAAAAATCCACAACATTTAGCCTGTCGCGCCAATCGACACAATTATTGTTAGTTATTTTAGAATATTCTCGAACTATCCTAGCACATGTATCAACAAACAAACACCCAATGACTTAAGCTTGTAGTTTACGTACCATCGTCCAAGGAGTAGCTGGATGCTTGTGCCAAACCTGTGGTGATGCAGTTGTAGAACCAGACCGTGGTGGCTATAAACCAAGCCATCACGAGCCGCAAGTTTTCGAGTGGCTGTAAATTAAACGGAAAAAGATTACCTATTGCTGCTACTGCCTGATATGAAGTCACCTTGAATTCTTGATTCTTATTATTGAAGCTCGCACCCATCTCTTTATGTAAACCTATGCAGCTGCATGAAATTTGTATAGACATGTAATTAAAACGTGAATTACGGTAAAAAGCATTGTAGCTGGGTTCGTGGTTTTCTTCTCTCTGAAGCAGACTGCTTGATAGTCTACGATGTGTACCGCCTTGTAAACTTCGTCTTCCACCAATCGCGCCATAATGTCTGGTCGGATCTGGAAATGGAGACATATTATCCATATCATCGGTTACTCTTAATAATAATTTATCACTCAAATACGTTCTATTATTGCCTACGTTCGGATTTACTGAAATTAATCTTACCCTTCCAAAGAATTGTCCAGTCTGAGTCGAGTCTTCGCTCACAACTATCCAGCCATTGTTGTCTACCAAGTAACAATCCCAGTTATCAGACTGACAGGTTGTGCACTCCTTGTTGTGTTCACACTGGAATAAATGAGTAGAGTAAAAAGTCTGTTCGGGTAACTTATTTGGTAAAAATAAAAATCCTGTTTGGGTACCTATAAGTTATTCCTAAAACAAAAATAGAAATACATCATGTCGTTGGAAACTTTAGGGCTTGAAAGAGCACTTACCGAAGACGTAATATTATCGAACCATTCGCTGAGTCGCTCGTGTTTGAACTGGAAGCCAACGACAGCGGCTGGAGCCTTCCTATGTCCGTCTCCATGGAATACCGCATGCGATGCAGTGACCATAGCCAAGCTGACGTTGAGAGGAAACTTGTCAGTGCTCAGGTCAACGCTGTACACGTAACTGAGGGGATCCACGTAGTGCTGTTCCACGGCTCGCCGGTACCATACTTCCTCGATCGCTCGTGGCCACTGCTTTCCAAATTCTGGCCTGGAAATAGAAGAAATTGTTTCATAAATCAAGTTTTAAAGAAAATGTTTCCATTCGCCGATAAGAGAAAAGATGTAGAAAAAATGAATTCGTTTTCATTGAAAAATTTTACAGTTTTGGATATTTATATTAAATTGAAGAATATTCTTAAATACGACATAGTTAATTATTTCTGTAATAAATGGTTGTTAAAATACACTATCTTACTTGTCATTATCATGTTCCTTAGGCGGATGTGTCTGCCATCGAGTGAGGCCACTATGTGTCGACAGGAAAGCCACGATGTATCCAAATCGTTGAATGAACTCCACCCTGTTACAAACATTAAATTCACTGTTTATTTAGCCCAAATACATATTTTAAACGTTATTGAAATGGACATTAAGGTGTCTCAGTCTTTTATTTGGAAGCATTTTTCTTGAGGAAGTACTCTCTTGCTTGTTAACTGCTCTTTCTAATCGAACGATAGGTAGGATATACAAACATTTACTGTTTGATTCATTTCTTTTCTTCTCAAATCTTACGTTTACTGATATAATCTTAACTATGCAGTCAGGTACGCATCCATGCATGCGTATTTTTCATGTTTACTTGTTTATTACTTTTCTTTTCTAGCGCTCGAATTATAATATCTAATTCTATACATGGTTGTTCTTATTCATTTGAAAATATACAAACCAATTCCAAGCTGCGCTTTAAAAAATCACAATAAATCATTTTTAACCTGCATTAGTAGAGAGATTGTTTACTCATTCTGGTTGTTTACGTCCTTGTACAAAAACCCAATCGCTTGTTGAAACTGAATCTCTATCTCTTAAACAAAATAGTCATGCAATACACGGGTCCACGTCATAAATTTACTTTACCTCGGCAACAATCCGATCACTTTTGTCAATGGGCTATCCGGATGAAAGTAGTAAAAATGCATTCGATATAAATTATAATGTGCTTCAAATTAAATTGGAATTAATACTTTACCGTAACAAAACTACAATTTTATATTTAAAAATAAATCATCATTTCGTTTAAATGGTGAAAGAAAACAAATATTAGGAAGTGTTAAAAATATAGAAAATATTACTTACGCCTTTTCATCTGATGCGGATTCGGAAATGCTCTTGTTGAACCAGGCTGTATTTCGGGCATCATACACCAAAGCTTGCATTAAGCCATGATCGCCTGACGAGATAAAAATAATATAATACTTTAAGAATGAATCGAGATAAAATTGCATACATTAGGTACATAATATCGCTAGGGAACTTAATTGGTACCTAGTTACAATCTACTTAATGTCAGATTGTGCTATATCAAAATAATAGTCCGTCACTCACAATAATATTCATTCTTGCTCCTTTCTCTCGCCTCTGATGTTCCTGAAAAATAAAAAATGTCTGTTTGACACAGGTTCTTTAGCAGTTTATAATTAGGTATAATTATTTAATGTCCAGTCATCGATCATGACATGACACAATTTTGAGGATATTATAAGTCTTCAATGTAAAATTATTATGTTACTTTTGCCGTTTAAATTGGAAAAACGAAGAGTGGGCGAGTTGATTTAGCTTGGACCCTTAACCTATAGAGTGCCACGTCAGTCCCTCCTGATGCTAGTGGAGGGTTGACTTTCACCATTTTAAAACTGGTCAGTTAAAGTGAAGTGGAAAAAGTTGCATTAGGTATGCACTAAATATGATTGATAATTAAAACTAGATATATCTGCCAAAAGTGATGAGAAATTAGTAATTATCTTCTGCTTTCCTCTCTTAATTTCTTTACTGTCTGAATTTATAACCAAATGAACTAGTAGTAAAGTCATGTGTTAAAATTAAATTACCGTTGTTGTGCCGCTCGTGTCCAGTTTTGTTCTTGTGGTGTTCTGGAGGCCGAGGCTTGGCTGGCCAGCGCCATCCTGGCTTAGCTACTCGTTCCAAGAAGTAAAGCAATTCTTCTTCAGCATTCGCAAATGTGCGCTCGTAATGCCGACAATACAACCTGAAAGTGTATAAATGACCATCGAAATATCGTTCCACGTTTTTTTGCCCAAACAAGTATTACTAAAGGTGCTTCTAAACAGGTAATACTTTTTTGCCAGGTCATATCAGACACATTTCTTTTGACTATCAGCACTTACCAATCAGGATGGACGCTCCACTTGTCTGACAGATATTGCCTCGCAGAAATATTCTTGGAGGTTAGTGAAAGTCTGTGTATATCGTCTGTGGGCGGAGGCGTGATACGATGTCGTCCATAGTTCTCTGGAATGGCGACAACTAACGTGAACGGAGAATCGCTGATCCCAGTCCAGAAGTAATGTCTTTTTGCTCGAGATACTCGTTTCTGAAAAAGTTAAGTTAATGAAATTAGACTCATTTCGTTGGTGATCTGAACGTGACAGTAATAGGGTAGTTTCCTAAATTATATTTTAATGTCCGTCTGGTACATTAATCTAAAACATTAGACATATTATTTTTTCTTTTCTCACATAATTAAATACTTTCGAAGATATATTAATTTGAAATATTTTGTAGCACGTTATGACGTAACTGCCCCTCACCCCTAAACTTAACGCGATTTTATCTAAGTATTGCAACTTAATACGAGAAAATACAAATATTAGACACGTATTTACGTGTCTAATATTTTTTCATTATCTAACTGACGGACTAATTAGATTTTTAATTTTGATCCCCTGGAAACTACCCAATTTTAGAATTAGTCTGTAAATTCATGAGTTTCGCATATTGAGAATACAGAACTTAAGTTACGTAATCAGTACACTCCTGTTGCAATCTACTTTATCTTTTAAGATGTGTTTCTTTCTCAACTCACCATGTCGTCGAGATGGTACTTCACGCTCATCACCTTGTTGCCAGTCTTCTGGTCTATTATCTCTTTACGTAACTGTAACATTGTTTTAAGTTGTAATTCCATTATAATTAAAAAAAACTATTCATGTAAAGAATATCTAATACTTGAAAAGAGTTAAACACTTACGGCGGTGAGTTCCTTGCTAAAGTTCCTGGGCCCACGGTCATCATCGAATAGTTCAACTTCGATCATGTCGACACTATTGTAACTAGGTTTCAAGATTTGTTGGAACTGGAAATAGGATTTAATAAATTGTCACTGTTAATCATCAGTACTTTTAAACATGTCTTTGGATCTCGATTGACTGGCAGTAGCCACTGACTGTAGAAGTGCTTCTAGTAAGAAGCACTTGCTTCTAGTAATTCACTCACTCACTACGCAGTGTTAATTTTAAGTACTTACAACGGGCCTCAGGTCAGGATGTATCAATATGTATCCGTTGTTAGTCACTATGAAAGCATAACCATTGACACCGATCTGAAACAGTAATTATATGTGAATGGCTTGGATAACACAGTTTAATATGTATTTAGGTACAATTAATTTATGATTATAGAAATATTACATACCTTGTATGGTGTCATGAGAGCTTGTATTTCAGAAAGAGGTACGTCAGTGCCAGCTACTCCCAAAAGTCTAGCTATACGCATCTGCAAGTATGTAACACGCATTACATAACACTGACACGAAACAATACAACAATATACAACACACCACACAATACACAATACTTTAATAATCTCTATTGATTCATCATTTAGTCTCAGGCTGTTCTGCAAATCAATATCGCTAAACTCTACGTTACCATTTTATAAATCTACATTCGAAATAGAAAAAATATATCAAAAATATGCTGTAGATATGTTATTTTTGTAAGTAAACAGTCAAAAATTATACTAACTACAAGGTATTCCGCATCTGGCGACGTATTGGCCATCAGACTACTGTTATTATACAACATTATGACAATCTTGTAAAACTAGCAATAAATTACTGATTCTTTAGCATCTAAGCCCCGTTAGGCGAAGTTCTATATGTTTATTTATATAGAACTATGTTAAGGGATTCTAATTTTATATCCACGGTTACAGGTTCTAGCAATACTACTCAAATATTAAATAATTTTATGTTATAAATTAAAATACTACTCTTTAGATTCTAAAAAAACCCACTACCATTATTTTGATTGTAAAAATACAAATACCCTTTCGAATGTATCCATGTAAATAACTGTCGAAATTGTACATTAATCAAATAGGCAAAGTAGTGACTTATATTAACTGCAGACTTGTTTCCTTAGACAAACAGTGCACAAACATTGAAAGCAGCTTCACCACCCAGGCGCCGCGCTCGTCCCTCGTCTCGCATGCATCGTCTGTCACGTCTCACGGAGGCAGTATGGTCTATGAGCGTTGGCCTACCTCTTTCTGGCCGTTCTCCTCTACGGACTGCGATTGGTTGTGGACGTACGAATGCAATAAAATATAATAACATATAGATAAATGCGTTGTAACAACTTCCGCTAGAAATTAAAATGGCTCCTCTCCGGAGATAAAGACTAAATATTGCTAAAATTGTTAATATCAAAAATTGCCATTCTTAAGAAGAGAATATTTTAAAGTCAATAGATACTCAAGTAACAAAGGCCCCATACTCGTCATGTGTACGCCGGGCTGCACGATACGTTATTCAAAAATATTTACATTTACTTGTCGTCATACAAGTCAATCTTTAAAAGTTGTCTCTACGAAGACATCACTATATTCAGGCAAAAATACTTTATTTCATTAGATAGTGTGTGTAGTGTATATAGATCATAACTCTTGCATAGAAAATTAACTTGATGATTGATAGAAAAGTCGTTCATAACACCCTAGTGGTCTACGCCTACGATCTAGTAGAAACTACGTCACTACAGTAAGCCAAAGGGTCGGACAACACATTGGTCAGGCGGTGCGGCGGCTGCGCACGCGCCGCCCTCCGCGCACACATCTATCGAGGACAGATGCATCGCTAACGGGGCCAAATAACACTGTACCGTTACTGAAATCCAAAAAACTAAATCATAAAAACTCTCTTGTATCTTGCAAAAACTTTACAATTAAATCATCAAAACTTTCTAAGTGTAGTACCTCTTTCGTAACCGAAACCCAGTAAGCTTCATTTATCAGTACATTCTCTGTGATGTTCTGAGGGGAAACCATCAAACAAAACGGAGTTATTAATAGACATTGACATGTAACAGAAGATAGACAATAGAGTAAAGAGAAAGTAATTAGAAGAGATAGAGCTTACGTCCAATTAGTAGAAAATACAAAACCAATCTGTAAACATAATCTTTTGAAACAGATCACAGGTTCATTTGGTTCATGCTACATGGAAAATTTAGAATTTAGAAAAGACGTAATGTACAGCTAAATAATACAGATAAGAGAATAATTTGACTAGAAGAGAGAAAGACACTGACACTGAAATAGATTAAAAACCGCAAATCAATATAAAAAGTAATGCAAATCATTCTCTTTCCCGAATATTTACTTTTTTTCTGACACATTAGGGGACTCAAGTTCAGGGCTTAAGAATAGGTACACGCACGACATCTCACCTCATTGTGCCGCAGGTCGTACACAGGCATGGATACTGACGTCATTAACTGATACTGAGAATTTCCAAGTTCACTGTACTGGCCTTGTTTCATCTGGAACATAAATAATTCAAAGACACCCCCGTAAAAGCTTTCAGGGTAATTCGTCCCTCATGCAATTCAAATGGCAATATAAATGTCACCTATTATTAGACTCACAAAATGATAAGGATATATTTACCTGAGTAATTCTCCATCGTCTATCCTGTTCCTTGTCCGAATTGAAGAGGTTTTTATCTCGTCGCTGGCTCATGAAGCGTTCCTTTTGTTCAGCTCGCTCGCGTTGCTCCCACAAGTAATCGGCTACTTTTGGATCCTAATAAATTACATGTTACAATGTATCAAAGTGATAATTTTTTTTTTTTGTTATTTTCCTGTAATCTGTCTCTAACGAACATTCAGCACATGGTCAAGAGTTTAATTTGTCTGTGAAAGTGATAAAATTAACTCCCAAATATGAGAGTACTTACAGTGACGTTGGCGTAGACAGGAGTCCAGACGACGGGGTGTTTCGCTCTCTGTAGCACGAGAGGGCGCGCGAGCACGTTCACATGTTCGAGCACGCGCTCGCGCACCTCTGCCAGAGTGCTCAGGTGCACGTAGAACCCACGGTTGGCACACGCCATCCACTTCACCTCTCTCACATCTGCCACCTACACAGCCTTAACGTGTTACTACCCATTCTTCCTACCTCGAGTCTCTAACGACGGCCTGTGTAAGTGCTGCATTCATCTGACCTAGCTAAGTGTCCTCTGCAGCATGTGGTAAGGCTTTCACAACATTTATTAGTACAATTTCTACAACGACAATAGTTGTAATAGGGTTAAATGGAAAAACTACAAAAATAAATATTATCAAAATTAGAGAATTAAAAAATTGTAAGAAGTATATTTAGGTCGATATTCTCTACAAGAAGATAAGAATAAAATGCATAACATAAACTCCACTACGTAAAAACCACCATACTTGTACAAAATACTACGCATAACATATATATTATGTCTCATTCATTACAACTCTCATTTAGCAAAAACTATGATTGAGATGCACAGGACACCTTGTATTTGCACGCACCGCAAAATTCAATCAATTACCAACAAACACACTGATATCGAAATCAATATTCATACATAGTAGTTACGTGCATCTTATTAAATTTTGAAGTAGACGTGAACACTACAGTCCATTGCATCTTGTTCGAATGTTTCGCTAAATGATCAACGGTTTGTCTAAATGTTATAACATGATTCACACCTGATGCAAGTATTGAACATATATTAATTAATCTTTAAAACCATAAGGAATTTTTCTCCAAGCGCCTCATGGAGGCATTAAACGTTTAATAGTTTTGATACTTTTTCTAACAACAGCAACAAGTGTAAATGGGTAGATCCAACATTAGGTTTAGGACATTGATTCAAGTTAAAAGAAAAAATTAATACATTGAATTTCGAGTATTGAACTACGTTATAAAACATAAGTTTGGACCTACCAAAAACATACAAAACGAACAAAAACTCTACAAGCTGAAGCACATTGAGATTGGAAAATGTACAAATTACAAAAACATCACCATGCAATGTACAGGTCCGATGTACAATAGACAGACAACAGGGTACCACATTCTAGGCGTACTGGCATTTTGGTACGAAGGAAGGCATTATGCAGGTCGCACAATGACTACGACACACAGTAAGACTTGAAGTGGTACTACCTTTACCTCACGCCCTATCAGGTACGTAAACACTCTCACTGGGGTATCATATTTCCAATTGAACTTCTCGAATATTTCCTTATAATTGTAAGGTACGCCGTCTGTAACCAGCATTATTGCCTGAAACAAGAAAACGTTTTCTATTTAATCGCACCGTTTAGGGACCTTCGAAAATGTTAAAGTTTCTTGTTAAGACGGGACAGAGACTGTTTCGTTCATTATAAACTAACTGACCCGACAAATTTTGTACCGCCTAAAATTTTTTGTCACCTTTTAAACCTTCCCTGGACTTCCACGAACAGTTCAAGACCAAAATTCGTCGAATCGGTTTAGCCGTTCTAGAGTTTTAGCGAGACTAAGGAACGGAAATTCATTTTTATTTATATATAAATTATACTTGTGAATACGGTTATGAAGAGAAGCATGCAAGAATCCTTAAAGTCGACTTTTTCAAATTCTCAGTACTGTGCCTAAGCCATAATCTAGTACAATATCAAGGACTCATAACAGAAACGGTAAAATATGGATTATACATAATATGCATCTACTTACCCCTACTAGGGATAAAATACGTGAAGTTACATATGACCTACCTGGTTGCAGTTAGCTCCGCCGCTGTTATTCCTGTATATTTCCAATAGCTCAAATGCTCTCGTCAAAGCTGCTGAAAAATTTGCGATCTCCTGTGTTTCGAAATTGTCCATTGCCAATTTTAGCTCTCGAAGATTCCCCAGGGTAGCCTGATAATGTTCAAAAATAAAATTATGATTTATTAGGACAGTCGAGGTACTTTCATATATTGTAGTCGTTATCTTGATAATAGTTGTTTACTGCAATATTCTAAAATAGGTAACGGTTTGCTTATCTTAACGAAAAAGTATTGCGTCGTATACCTCCGGCGGACTTGTTTTTTTTTTCATTGTGTTTTTAAGTAGAAACTAACTCACTTGTACAAGAGAATCCTCAAAACACGGTACGATTTCCTCCACAGTATCAGCGAATGTCATCACGTTGACAAAATCATTGTTACCGAGGGTGTCAAGTATGTTGGTAACAACGTGTTTCGCGATATCCCGTCGTTGGCCGGTCATTGACCCGCTGCGGTCTACTAAAATGATCACATCCTTTGGACTCGCAGCCGCTTCCATGTACCACGCTCGGGTCCGACAATCATAAATGTCTACAGGGTCCGCCCTCCATTTCAAAGCTAAAATATAATTTCAATTAGAACATGTGTCTGTGGAAGATAAGAATCCGTAAATTGGTAAGAATTTCTTTACCAGGATAATGTCTCATGAATCCAGTAGAACTGCCAAAATATTGCCACGACAGCGTAGGGTCACTCTGATAGTTATTTATGAAGTGTGTGTCCAGACCTTCCGACCAGTGGATTCCTTTGATAACTTCAGGTGCTGGAACACATATACCGTTTTTAATCCGTTCACACAATATTTATGATTACACGACTAAACGTTACACGTCCATGGTTTACTCACCCCAAGCATAAACATTTGTTGGAACGTGTACACTGCTAAAATTAGTATTTACTGGAATGTTAGAAAAGTGTGGGTTTTGCTGCGTGTGCGCGTTCTTAGATGGAGGCCGTACTATCCAGCTTTCTTGACCGAAGTCTGTTTCTGGTGTGGTGGTGATCGACACTTCATCCCACGGCTCCTCCATCTCCTTACTATTGTAGAATTGAAAGTCCTCAGGTACCGGTTCGTTTTGTTTGTCAAAAGCCATATTTTGTGCAGCGTCTACTATCCTCTTGACAGCGCTAATTTTCAGTTCCATCATGGCGCGAATATCGTCTGACATACTCTGAACTAATTTTTCCCCATCTCTCGATTCGACTTGAGCAGATTTGAAACTCTGAATAAAATTAATTAATTTTGTAGCATTTGCCTTAATAAGTGCAATAATAGAACAAATACAACAAAGTGTACATACGTCCTGAACTTCTTTCTTCCTGGTGATGAACTCCCCGAAGTGATATAACTCGGTACCGAGCTTAACCGCCCATGCTTGTACCCTAAACAGTTAATATATTGAAGTTACAATAAAGCAAATCTATAAATCATACTCTGTCCGGTAACATTTACTCAGCATTTCGGAGTTACTCGTTCTTTATGGGTTTTTTACGATGTTAGCATATCGATAATAATAGATTATGTGTAGTCTAAAAACAGTTTAACTAATCTTATTTTTGTTTATTGTAACGAACTCTGTTTAATTCTGCCATTTGGTTACAGATTCTGTGTCTGTTACCTATACCTAATAACTTCATGGGCAGATGGAAATTAGTCTAAAGGGAACTATTTGTGTTGGGTAGAAGTAAAATAATTCAATCTGATAATTTGTATTATACAAATATCTCTTACGAGTTGAGCGATATTTTGGCAGGGGCATCACTAGCCGAGCAGTCCCTGGAGTCCAGGAACAAAACCAGCAGAAGTAACACGAAGGCACCGACACACTTGCACATCAGAACCACTGCGTTGTATTTGTTTCACTGACTAGAACGATACGAGGACATGTTACGCACTTAATCTAATTATGACATTGATGATGTTTAGGGAATCCGATGTTAGACGGTCGGGCTGTGTTAGGTACTGGGCGACGAACATTGATAAGGTTGATAGGTGTGCGTCGCAGTGCGCAGGCGCGAGTGAGCGCAGGGCGGGCATGCGCGCTGGTTCCCCTGCGCGGCTCGACTGGCGAGTGGCGACCTCCGAGCTGTTTGTGTATGACGGCGCTACGTAACTTGTGGATTCCGTCGTTGTCGGCACCTGACGCATCGATTGCTCGCCCCCATCACTAGGTCAGCGTGTCGGTGGGACGGCGGACATGTTTTCAGCTTCCGTTTGTTCCCGCGGTTCATTGAAATAACTACTTACTACGTTTTATTACTGAAATTTTTAAAGTATGTGATTTTGAGGAAGATTGTTACTATAACCTATTGAAATAATAGATTTAAATAGTTTAACTAGATGAGCAACTAACAATTTAGGACGACATAAATTAAAATTAAATTAACAACTGTCTGTACCCTTCCAAACTAATGTAATAAATACATAAATATTAGTTCTATACAAAATGGGTAAATAAAACTTTTTAATTAGATACTGGTGCAACAAGTTTTATTGGCAAAGTAACAAAGGTACAAATGTATGAGGTGCGCCGCGTCACGAGCGGGTCTTGGCCAGCACCGCCATGACCGCGGCGAACAACAGGACGGCCACGTCGAGCCCGGCGATGCTGCCGATACCACACGCTGTTATATTCCGCTCCTGGGGACAAATTGTAATGTTCAAACAATACATTAATAATGTCACACGCACAAATAATTGGAAAAAAACTGAAATAGCTTTTTTATTTATTTAAGGGCTTCGTCGCTTGGAGCCACACCGCTCATCGCTGGAAAAATGACATTCTTGTTTAAATCTAAAAAAAATGGTACGTATCACCATTTTCTATAACAATAAAAATTCAAATTTGCCTTATGCGTATAAAAATACAAATTTGCCGTATTTCTTTCATTTACGCATATTAGTATTGTCTTGGTGTTAATGGCCCAGAGGTGGCCATTGCCAGTGAGGAAACCTTGACTTACAAATATCACAATCACAAGAGTGGTCAAAGTCATTCTTCACTGTATAAGAAGAAGCTTTTGCCCAGCATTTACAAGTGAAATTCCTCCAAGAACATTAACACAAAAACATTTCAGTCTTACCCCATCATGATAAGTGTAGCAGCCTTCTAGTCGTCGCCTGTGCAGAGCTCCGAGCTCCAGCTTGTGGCAGGGCTCCCGGCTGGTGGTGGACATGAGCGTCGGCTGCGGCTTCGTGTCGGGCGGCTCCGTACAGTTCGCGGCGAAATCATCCTGCTTCTCAACAACCACGAGGAGCAAATTCGTTTTAGGCACATACGCAGCCCAGTACGCCGGCCAACAGTCTCCTGCCTCGTCCTTCTGAACGACGGGTGAAGCTCCCGCGGCATCCAAGAAATATTTCTGATTCAGTATAAAAAGTGTGATACTATGGTCGCAGGAGAAAGGGCTCTCGTCTTTGTCATCTTTTTGTGTGATTGTTTCATTCTCCGGCATTGGCGCTGCGGTTGTCGTGGGCGCCTCTGTGTACCCGTGGTTGATTAGATCGATATAGTCTGCGAGCGAGACGACCATGCGGTTACATAAAGCAGAAGAATTAGACGTGCTTATACAATAGTAAAAGCTGCGGCTTACCATGCAGCTAGATAACTAGTTGCGGTGTAGAGAAATATTCATTATAATTACAATTTTTATTTCCTGAAAGCTTAGTCTGATATTTTGCCGTGTCAAGAGTAATTTAGTAAAAGCCGCTATTAGTTTGTCGCCGTTTGCAATAGTTTCTTCTATTAATTGCTTCTACCTTGCAGTCATCTAAAAGTTATTTTTGTGTACGAGCTACTAGTAAGTACTTAAGCAATTAGTTGAAAGTGCCGTAAAAACTTTAATCCATTTAGAAGAAAATACTAAAGCTCATTCCTATGAACAATAAAAGCTAGAGGTTAAGTTATGTGCATATTCACGTTTAACATTAATCTCAATGTTTATTTTACGTAATCGGTATCATATACTTTGTGTTTATAACTCTGTTTTTGTCATGACCGACTGAATCCTATCAATGTTTATATCATTTCTTTAATTGATATTATTTAATATATATATTAAAGAGATATTTAACAGTTAGTTTTATAGCATTGTTTTTTGCGAGATCACCTATCCAAAGCCTAAATTATTGTTTTTAGAGTATATATTTGTCTATACATGATACAACATTAGTTATGACTAGTATCTCACCATGGTCGTCGAGGACGGCGGCGTGCGCGTAGTCACTCGGGTTGTACAGGTTGGAGAGTAATAGCAGAGCCTCCGTCACCAGCCAGTGGAAGAAGTTGAATGCTAAACTAAAAGGCTACAAAACATACAAGTTGTTTTACACTTCTGTATTTTTTGGCAACAAACGATTAGGATCGCTTAGTATGAAAATGTTAGGCAACTGGAAAGATACCAAAATTTGGTTAATTTTTGCTAGTCTTCTGAATATAGAAACGTCTAAAGATGTTTATCTCATGGAATTGTAAACAAAACTAAAATATTATTAAGATTCTCTTTAAATTCATCATTAAATTTAATTTTTTTGCAAGTGATTAAAATTGGGTACCTACTCGCCAACTAGTCAAATTCAATATTTTTCGAACTGTCAAAAACGACAGTTTTCTATGAATTTTGTACGAGATTGTATGATTGTGTTGTGACGTCACGGTTTTTTAGCGTTTCAAACAACATACTTATTTCTTTGCTAGTAAAATACTAAAATTAAGTTGGTCATAAAAATAATTAATAATAATAATAATAATCTTTATTTCAGACGTAAGTCCATACACTTTTAGAAAAATTAAAGAAAAACTTGTAAAATAAGTAAATTGAGTTTGTTAGTATGGTTGTTAGTACTTCACACAATAATACAAAACATAAAGTGTTAGTAATTTGTTAGTAAACAAACTAAAAAGAAGTTAAAAAAAATAAACAAAAACAGTAAATTAATAGTTCGGAACAGGAGTCTATTTCTTATTTCTAAGCAAGTGTACACTGGCCCAGTACACAATAAACGGACTGTCTATTTTGTAAGCCAACGTTCTGAGGACAGCATTGGCGCTTGAACGTACCCTGCTCATCATTGATGCAGTTCTTTTTCGAATGATGCAGAAGAAATCATCGATGGAAGCATCCGCAAACATTGCGGAAGCACTGCAGCACCTGGGTTTCCTCAACACTGCCCTCAGTGCATCATTGTACTGCACACGCAGGGCATTATAAGCCCGCCTCGTAAATCTGATCCACAGACTGCACGTGTAAAATGACTGACAGAAGGCTCTGAAGAGTAATAGTTTTACATCTGTGGTACACCGTGCGAATCTGCGGGCCAACATATTGCAGCGGACTGCCAACGCCCTCCTTTCTCTCTCTAAGTCCTCATCATCCAGTAGCGTCTCCGTCAGCATGTGACCCAAATATTTCACCTTGGACACCCTCTCTAGTGCCGACCCTGCGATTTTAATTGGCGGCACATTCGAAGGCGCCTTGTTCCCTGCTTTAAATACCATGAGAACACTTTTGCTGGCATATATTTGAGTCCATGCGACTGGGCGTATGATTCACATATGTAGAGAAGTTTCCTGAGCGCATTGACTGATGGGGACAGCAGGACCATGTCGTCCGCATAACTGATATTATTTATCATTGTGCCATCGACTGAACACCCGACCTTGGTTCCGCTCAGCCCGCCAATAAGCTGGTTCATAAAAACGTTAAACAAAGTCGGTGAGCTTAACCCCCCTTGCCTCACCCCGCATTTCAGTTTATAGTCCCGACTAAATGCGTCAACCCATCTGACAGCATTCTTCTGATTGCTATACCAATACCTGAGGAGCGATACTACCTCCCTCGGCACAGCAGTCTCCTCCAGTAGTTTATGCCAAAGAATATCGTAAGACACCAGGTCAAATGCCCTCGAGAGATCAAGAAAACACGCATATACTGGTGTTTTTCTGTCGGTATAATACCTTACCGTTTGTTTGAGACACATAACTGCCATGTCCGTTGACAAGTTGGGTCTGAAGCCAAACTGCAAGTCATGTATCTGAACGTGTTCGTTCAGCTGCGCGTTCACGAGACTGTCAAGGACCTTCGCCATGGTTGTGGCCAGTGATATTGGGCGGTAGTTTCGCTTGTCAGATGGATCCCCGGTCTTGTTCTTTATTATCGGAACTACCACTGTTCTCATCATATCATCCGGGATATAAGAATGGCCTATACAAAAATTAAACAACAGACTTAGGACTCTGGGCAAATGTACACCTGCATAACGCAAATGCTCTATACTAATACCATCATGACCTGGGGATTTTCCACTCTTCATATTTTTTATTACATTTCTCACGTCTACTGGTCTAAATCGACGGTACTTCTCACCAGGTCTGACGTCAGGCTTACTTACTCTACTAAACTCACAGGGCATTGGTTCCAACTCAAACAGATCTTTAAAACTATCTGCAATATTCCGATTCCCTACGACATTGTCGACGCTCACAGGCAAGCTCGGCTTAGAATTCATGTGCCCTGTATTTTTCCAAAAACTGCTAAAGTCTTTAGCTTTATGTTTTGCTGCCAGTATGTCCATTTTTATTTGCTCAGAATTATCCTGACACCATTTCAATTTTTTTTTTTTTTTAAACTGTCTTCGCGTTTCACACATATTTAAATAGTGTGGCCCGTCGCGCGGCTTCCCCTGCAGAACCCAGTTACAGAAACCAAGCCGAGCCCTCCTATGAGATTCACCGACATGCTTGTTCCACCCTACAATACACATCTTCTTTTTTCTCTTACTGTCCGTTCTAGTCCTTTCCGAGGCATCACTCAAGATAGACTTAATACTATCATACATTACATTGATTATGTGTCTATGTTCTACTTTGTCACATATATGATCACAGCAATCCCGTAATTCCACTGGAAAGTCTATATTTCGCAATGCCCCGTTACATAATTCCCTATATTTACAGATTTGTTCATCGTTCCGTAACCCCCATAGTATTTTATTATCTACCCCTCTATTTACAGTACTTTTTCTTGGTAAACTGTTAAAATTACATGTGATTTCAATTGGAAAATGGTCCGACCATGACACCTCATACAATACCTTAATGCTATCAATTGTTTGAAATGCCATTGCTGTAACCAGTATGTGATCCAACCATCTTACAGTTCCGTGAGCCTCACTTAAGTATGTGAAATAATGAAAGTGTGCTTATACTGAAAGTGTGCTGTAATTAATGAAAGTGTGCTTATTTTTTAATATTTTATTGTATGTCAATACCTACAATAAAATATTGACTGTTCAATAACAGTCGAAATAATTTATTTTTGATTAAGAAAAGTACGCTATTGTTATACACAATACGATGCGCAGAACCTAGTCTACCAACAACTGCACCAACTATGCCAACATATTTGTTAATCCCATATTGGCTACCTTTGTAGGCTAGCAACCAGTATTTTATATGTTAAATATACCTGAACGAAATCACACAACCTACTTACCGTACGCAAGGTCCAAGAGTTACTTTTCTTGATCAAAGCAGAGAGAGGGCAGAGAGCTTGGTAGTTGAACACCTCAACATGGTCGTATATTCCCAACTCAAGGAATGACTGTAACACATGTTTCTGAACTGTCCCGAAGAACTGGCCAATGATCTCCTTATCCTTAGTCAGCACGATGTACCCAGAACTGTCGATGACGTAACAGTCGTATTTGTCGGAATTTGGATCACACGTTGGGTCCTAGAAGAAAACTTAGATATTTACAACGTTCACAAGTTATCAGAACAATGATGAAAGAAAAATATTTGGAAACCATTAAATTCATTTCATTATGTTCTATTTTACTAAGGTGGCATAAATTTGATCAACAAAAAATTCTACATTCTTTAAATCAAGTCTGCCTCTTAATCAGTGAACCCATCAGACCACCACAGAAGGGGCCCAACAGTCGCGGAGAACCTAACGGGTTATCGGGGCTGCGGCTCGACATGCAGGACAAGGAACGGGGTGGTTTTTAGTCAGTAAGAGTCTGACACTCCCTTCCGCCTCACCCAGGCGGAAGCAGTCATTCGATGATTTTCTCCCCCCAAAAAAAATCGGTGAACTCCATAACCATAATCATACCTTAGAACCATCCAAAGAAATATTAGTTATTTCCAAAAATCTTTCATAGAACTTCAAATAGGAGTATTGGAAGCCGACAACAGATGCTGGTGTTTCTGATGTTTCGTCCTTATAGAAGATCGCATAGCTTGCAGTCAGGGTTATATCTCCATCTTCATTAATGACTTTCGGCGGGTTCTTGATGATGTCATCGAGGACTGGGAGAGGTGTGGCCACGACTAAGGATTCCTTGTTGATCATATGCTGTAACACTGCTGCCTTGTACCAAGTCTCTTCAATGGTATTGTGGTAGACATCTCCAAAAACGCTGCAATGAGTTTGGGAACTGTAGATACGTCTTACGGTATAATTATGTATTTAACGATATACCTATTACTTAAGTCGTTGTTCAAAATATTGTTTTCCATGATAGAACAATATCACCTACACAACATAGCAGAGGCACAAAGCCCTACTTACTAGATCGGTGTAAAATACATTTTTTTTAATCTTCATCAAAATAATTAATCATGAAACTATTAATTATCCAAAACCATTACAAAATTAATAAAAATAATCTCACTTCCCATCAGTTCCATCTACTTACCGAGTTTGATTCCCGGGTCGGTCAAAGTATTAATGGGATTTAAAAAAAAAACAGTAGTAGTGGGGAGCCTGGAATTGTGCCCGGTATATGGCAATAAGCTCACCCCCTATTACATGGGACTCAAAACATAGATAGTGAAAAGTGGCTGTTACATTGTACAGTGGCATTAAGTGCCATAATGCGCGCCTCAGCCTATCCCTTCGGGGATAAAAAGGTAAAATAAAGTTATGTAAATCTTACTTTCCATCATATTCCTTCCTTCTGTTGCCGTGATCATCAACTTCTTCATTCTTGTCTGTATCGAAGACGTAATGCCACCTGGTCAGACCACTCGACGTGGCTATGAACCGAACGCTCACATTGTACTTGCGAGCCAGGTCCCATTGCTCATCAGTTGCTATCCAGTTCTCAAAGTATGGAGCTGATAACTTTGCATCAAACACCAACTGCTTCACCAAGTCCTCGTTACAATAGTAGTCGTCTTTTCCCAAAGGGGTCATGCCGCAATGTGCTGACGAAGATATATTATTAGTTGTTGACATGCTAGCGTTGATTTATTTGTAAATCATATATGTATATAAATCAGGAACTAGAGAGTTGATATTCTATGAGCTAACGTTTTTGTGTTCACGAGGTGGCGCTGATGTAATGTGAGGTCCTTTATTTATTAGCGTCTAACCATTGGACAGTAAATTTTTGACAGTTGCAGTGATTGGATAAATAGGACCTCATGCTATATTAGCACCATTAGAGGCCTTAATACGAGTTTCTATTACGAGACGGCGTTTATTGCTCTGATTGGTTTGTTCATTGGAGCCGGCCAATCAGAGCACCGAACGCGTACTTGTTTCGAATACTTTAAACGTAAAAGAAACTCATACTAAGCCCTCTGGTGAACGTTAGCCCTCATTATGAAGTCGTGTGATTAAATTATTTAGTACAAGTAACAATACTCACTGTCTAAGCTGAAAGCTTTCGTCTTATTTTCGTTTTCTGGATATTGTTGCTTGGTTATATCTATTTCGTTCTTGGACAGTCCAACTAAGAACTTCCACGCCTCCTCCTCAGAGTTTGATGACTCGTGACCTTCTAAGTAGTGGTATTTGCAGTATACCCTGAAGAAAATAGTGAACAAGGGGTAAATAATCGCAATGTTATATGCTTTTTAACAATTTCAGGAAAGGAAACCAAAGCAGATTTGTTTAGGTACTCTTCTCATTAAACAACAGGAGACATAGCATAATATATGTATAAATTATAGACAAATTCAACGTTACTTTAAACTGTCAAACACCAAGCGGTCACCGGTGACCGCGACCTATTGTTCTTTAATTGTGTCTATAAAACCGGTACTCGACGAGTTAATGGTGTAGCTAGAGAAAAGATTGCATTCAAAAATAAACATTTGTTTCAATTGTCCTTCAGCAAGTAAAATTATTTCATTCAATCGGATACAATGTATGTTAAACTTACCAATCTGGATGTACCCTAAAGCTATATCTGAAGTAATCAGTGACGTTGATGCCAGTCAGTTCCTTTCCTTGCTTCGCCTCCAAAGGATTCTCCTTGAGCAGAAGTTCAGTGTCACCATATCCCTTTGGCAATGAAATCCCCATGGAAAATGGTGTTCCTTCCAGTTTGTTGAAGAAGTAATCGTGGCTCACTCGAGCTATTCTCCTAGGGAAATATCAAAATAATGTCCAGTGACAAAAATCTTTTCAGTTAGGTCAAATGGTATGATTTCTTCTTTATAAGAGATAGATTTAAATTAGATAAAATGAATCTTAATTTATGGGACACTAGGTCACGGCTTCACAGAAAACCGACGTGAAGCAAGGCTTGCGTTGTTTTTCGTGTGAGTGAGGTTACCGGAGGCCCAATTACCCTCCCCGTCCCCAATCTCCCCAATTCCTGAATCCCCAACGATCCTCAAACTCCTAATCCCCAAAAGGCTGGTAACACACTTGTTACGCCCCTGGTTTTCCAGGTGTCCATGGGCGACGCCGATTGCTTACCATCAGGTGATCCGTATGCTCGTTTACCGGCTTAGGCCCAAAAAAAATGTTTATATACATACAATAAATAAAGAAGAATATTTAAATACCTCATGTTATCATAATGGTAGAGTACAGGCACTTGCGTCATGTTCCCATCCACACCTTCCACGAGGTAGTTCCGCAGATTCTTGATCTGATCTCCAAGGTCACGGGTTCCCTTCCCATCGTCCACCTGCTCCACCTCCACGAAGTCCACGCTGTTATAGTTCTTCTGGAGATCGCCGTTTATCTGGAAATATAATATTATGGAGTTAAAAATCGTTATGTGAAAAATATTTTTAATGTCATTAATAGGTTGTTGATGTTTAATACAAAAAGCTTGTAATTATATTAAATCTTTAGCAAATGTGAAAGTGTGTTTCTCTAATTTAGTTTCTGATATAAATGCCAGCAACGTACTAATAGTAGTAGTAGTAGTAGTAGCAATACTGAATGAATTAATGATTGTTTACAACAGGTGATTTGTCTGTTCTTTTGCAATTAAGTCGGGTCTAAAAACTATATACGTGCTAATAATCACATCTGTTTAACTTACAGTAGTCGTCAGCAGTGGATGCAGCAACAAATAGCCATTGTTACTGACAATGAATGAATACCCGTTCACACCCAGCTGAAAATATATGGTAAATAGCGTAAATTAAGTGATAATTAATGTTTTGAAGAACCAGTACCTACCTAACAATATGAATTCGGACCAACCCATTTAAATAAATACAAAAAAAACATTATAATTGCTGAATCGCTTGCACGACGCTTTTAAAAACAAAACTAGCTACTATTGAAGCTAATGGAAAAATTTTACCAAATTGCAGATCACTTCAACATTGGTTTCAAATGAAGAAAATAACTATCAAATGACAACAAACATCGGTTCATCTACCTACCACAAAAATTTTAATGTTTAAAACGTTAATTAAAAAATATACTGGTCCTAACAAAAGACATATACGCGGAGTAACAAATTAACATTATTATGGTAGTTACCTGGTGTGGTTTAGCAAGTTTGGCGATGCTGTCTATAGGCACATCGGTACCAGCGACGCCAAGCAATAGAGCGTCGTTGTTCTCCTCATTGTACTTATAGTCAAACGCTGGGATTGCCACCGATGTCACCAGTTTGTCTTCATCAGGCTGGAATTGGTTGGGTCTCAATTAAAATTTTAGCAATACTGAAATAGTTTATACGTATACGTTTTTATTTTTCAACAACAGTTATTTTATTTCTAATATTTACATTTAAATCTATAAAACTTTAAAATTAATTAGTCTTTGTCGTTTTATATACAAAGAGCGTTAAAAATGTATCCGCATCGATGTCAATAGGGAATGAACCCTGAAGGCTGGCAGCATTGCCATGTTTTATATCAATGCTTAACTTTTGGCCGAGGAACAGATCAGCCCTCTGGTCACAAGATACGTCGACCGGGCGTTTTGAAATATTCTTAAATAAACTATGGGTACGCGGACCCTACGGACCTTACGTCTCAACCCCTAACGCTCAGAAATAGTTATATTAAACTCTAATAAAAAAGATGTATTAAGCTCGTACAGTTTTTCCCATGTTTAAAATAGCTATGAAAGCTTAGGTCTGTTTATTGACAAAACTGTTCGACGTTTGTTCATTAGTTTTTGAGTCCATCATGTTTAGATGAATAGACAACATGGCTTACAGTGTCTTGTAAAAACGTGTTACTTCAAAGCTACTAAAAATAAAAATATTACCTTTGAGATATCACCACTCACACCCCATTTGCTGGTTCGCTGTAAAAGACAAAAAAAATTGGTAAAATACATCGTAATTTCCTCAAAGCGACTACCGAATCAGATTCGGGTTTTTCCGAATTCCTCAATAATAGCAAGGAATTTGCACCTGTGCCCAATTTTTGGCAGTAACCCAAGAGGACATATAAATTACCTACAGAGGCATACAATTGCATATTTAGATTATTTCCCATCCATTAATAAGGGCCATAATCTTTTTATAGTCAAACCAATTAGCAGAAATGCATGCCCCCCAAACTTCTACAGTCTAACCTGTGACTCCGTAAATTACTTAAGCAGATGGAATGAAACTGACCGTGGAGTCAATGTTGGCGTGTGTCCAGGTGGGAGGCGGCTCCTTGTTCTCCAGAATCATGGGGCGCGCGATGACGTTGATGTACTTCAGCACTTGTTGCTGCACCTCCTCCACTGAGTGAATGTGCACGAAGTAACCTGACGCAAACGTTATTGGTCAGGTTAAACTTATGTGAATAAAGAACTACATATTTGTATGTCACCTCTCTTTACGCTTTATAATTTCACCAAAATTGTACATTACTTTATTTTATTGCACAATTGACGAAAAGTAAGTGACACACAATATATGAGCTCTCGAGGGAATAACGGGCGAGCAAATAAAAATAATGTATGAAACGTTCACCTCTATTCAGACAAGCCATCCACTGTATCTCACGAACATTAGTAACTTCTTTCCCGATGAGATAAGTGAACACTCTCACAGGGATGAACGTCTTCCCTCCGATGACCTCCCGGTTGTACTGCTCAAAGACTTCAGTCAGGTTCCCCGGTACATAGTCTGTGATCACCATCACCAACTGGTTGCAACCCTGCGTACTGCTCACGTTGCACTTGTCTCGTCTCTAAAGACATAGCAAGTAAAAAGTTACGACAAATATAAATTATTCAACAGGCTCCTCTGCTGCTTAAAATGGTCTACATTTTTAAGCCAAATAAATATTTATGATTTCAAATTATACATGCGAAAAAACTGAATTTATTATGATTTTATGGTCGAAAAGGGAAAGTGTACAGTCATTATTTTGCTTGTTGACGAGGGTTGTATACGATGTTATGTCCCGGTTGGATGTCGCCGCGGACGGCAGCCTCACAAAACGTATCGTAAACGTCCCACTTACCGCCTTAAGTGCTGTAAAAGCTTTAATATACGCCATCGTCAAATTTGCGTAGCCCTCTAGGGGAACTTTATGTGTTTTTCCTTCGTCCGTTGGCTCAAGGGTATCAGTTAAAGTCTTTAGATTCTCGGGAGTTGCTTGAACTAAGTCTAAAAAACAGTCGACTACAAAGTTTGTAGTGTTTTTAAACGTGTACACATTCACGTAATCGTTATTTGATAGTGTGTCCAGTAGTGATCGTAGTGTTCTTCTTGCTACGTAGTTTTTAAATCCAGTCATTGAGCCCGAGACATCGAACAGAATAATCATGTCTTTGGAGCAAGTCGCGGCTTCAATATACCAAGACATCACACGGCAATCGTATGTATCTACTTCTTTAGTGTTCCACCTCATGCCAGGGTAGAAACGTAGAATTCCATGTGAACTACCAAAATATTGCCATGATAAAGACGGATCGGAGTTATAGTTTTTTAAAAATATATCATTCAGACCCTTTGACCATAATATAGCGTTCCGGGCATTCGTTTCTGAAAATAGAAAAAATTTAGCTTTTTAAAAGTGAACAAAGTTATCCTTAATAATTTTTGCTTCTAATAGTCTAAGATCCGGCTGCAGAATCAGTGTACCCATCGAGTGTTTGCTGAAAACCAAATTTTTACACATATTCATGATTAGGAGAATTTATATCCACCAGGTTGCCTATCAAAATGTGGCCGCTAGTGTTTTTAATTAAATTATTAATAATTCATAATCCGTAAGAAATTTCATTGACTTTTTTTTTCAATGAAATGTCGTCTACTTTACGGCAACATCTATAAAGACTCTGAAAAATTATGGTTGCCGTTGCGCACCTGGCCGCACCTCTTCGCAGCCAGGTATACACAGGTATGAATTTGTTACATTTATACACCCACAACGTACATTTATAATTTATATATCAAATTAAAGCAATTATTTTTCTGAATATTATTATATACGGTTGCTTAATTAAATCTGGCCGCCAATAAGGGTTGCTGGCTAATAAATATAGTAAATATTAAAAGTAGAGTGAAAGAGAGCTAGCGCGTAACACCACTAGTCAGACGAGGATAGCGATTGCCAGCTATACGACGATAGCGGAATCTGTAAATTATAAGAAATGAGATATTACAGTAAAATATTCCGTTGTGATTCAACAGCAGAGTTTTCATTGTATTTTAAAAAGGTAAATTGCAATATTACGTCGATCTAAAAGAATATAAATATGTAATCTTTGCTTTTTTTAATTTTTTAAATATAGACAAAAATATCTTTTTTTCGTAATGATATAAAGCATGATTAACAGAGAAAATCGGTGATAGCATTTACTTCTTTACACTATATTGCTGAATGATTTTATTGATTATTCAAAAGGTTCGACTACATGAAGAATTCTACGTATTTAAGAAATTGAATATCCTAGGTATTACTAGGTGGAACTATGTGACCACGTTTTTCTATAAAAATGAAAAATAAAAAAAATATATAATTTCTACTAAATAACCTCAAAGTTAGCTCTGTATTATTTATATCGTAATTAGTACCTATATTTTTTAAGTTCGATTAAAATTTTACTTACGGTTTGTGTCTTGCAAAAACTTTCGAATTCTTCTTTATCTTTTTGCTTTAAAACTGTAATTTTTTTCAAACATTTTGTATGATATCCAAAATCATCGGTAGATTCAAGTGTTAATAAAATGTCATGATATTTATATTTTTTTTGCGACGAAACAATAACATTAGAGAACACTTTTTGACTGAAGCATTATCAAAGTCTAGTACATTGCATTTTTTGTCGCACAGGAAACACGCCTTCATCCTTATAAATTTTATTTCACTTAAATGAGATTGATAATTTTTCGATGCACAAATAAAACAGCAATATATTATGTTGTGTATTACGTACTCCAAACAGCATTGTTTCGAACTTAAAATAAAAATCACAACTGATCCGTTGAGAACACTAACATCTGACGCATGTGCAATGGCTTTAAACCGTCCGACAGCTGGCAATCGCTATCCTCGTCTGACTAGTGGTGTTACGCGCTAGCTCTCTTTCACTCTACTTTTAATATTTACTATATTTATTAGCCAGCAACCCTTATTGGCGGCCAGATTTAATTAAGCAACCGTAGGTATATAATAATATACAGAAAAAAAATTGCTTTAATTTGATATATAAATTATAAATGTACGTTGTGGGTGTATAAATGTAACAAATTCATACCTGTGTATACCTGGCTGCGAAGAGGTGCGGCCAGGTGCGCAACGGCAACCATAATTTTTCAGAGTCTTTATAGATGTTGCCGCAAAGTAGACGACATTTCATTGAAAAAAAAAGTCAATGAAATTTCTTACGGATTATGAATTATTAATAATTTAATTAAAAACACTAGCGGCCACATTTTGATAGGCAACCTGGTGGATATAAATTCTCCTAATCATGAATATGTGTAAAAATTTGGTTTTCAGCAAACACTCGATGGGTACACTGATTCTGCAGCCGGATCTCGTACTATAAAGAAATTAACTTTGATATTTCCCCGAAGGACTAGTCTTCTATCTATAGACGTAATATTCCTAATGAAAAACAAACAAGGAAAGCTCTTTGAGCTAGCGATTGCAAATTGATAAACAGAGAATTTATACGCTCATCACACTAATATTATAAATGTAAAAGTTTCTTTGTTTAGACGTTTGTCCGTTAATCACGCTGAAAGTACTGGACGGGTTTTGATGAAATTTACGGTATACAGGCAGGGCATGGGCAGGTGATAGGATACTTTTTATCCCCATTAAATGCTCCCACGGGATAAAAAAGGAATCATATTCTACGCAGTCGAAGTCGCAGGCAACAGCTAGATATAATATACGCTATATAAGTTCTGTTGGTAAACAAAAGAGATGTCTGTAGTAGATAATATACATGATCAATCACAGATAGGTCATTCACCTACCACATTGTACAACACTGCCCACGCCTATACAATCATTGCTGAGTGGAATCAAGCAAATTATTTATGAACCGGTATTGTTTATTTATACCAGTGAGTTTTATACTCTTTACTGTCATTGCAAATGACTAGAATGTCTAGAATTCCTTGAAAATTGGAGTGTATACTAAAACGACTGCCTCTTTGGCCAAGTAGTCGCAAGTGCGACTGCTGGGCAAGGGGTTTTGGGTTCGTTTCCCGGGTCGGACAAATTATTACTGGGTTTAAAAATAAAATCTCCGTAATATAAATAGTGAAATCAGTGACTGTTACATTGTATTACAGCATTAAGTGGCGTAATATGCACCTCTGCCTACCCTGTTTGGGGATAAAAGGCGTGATGTTATGTTGGAGTGTACCTATACTAAACATTCACGGACTTTCCATCAATTACGTTGATACTTTGAAAGCTTCATATAAAATTACTCAGGGGGAAAAATACAGCAGTTCAATTAACGTAATTTGGTACTTAGTACACCCAGGAGTTTCAGTAAATTGACTACCATGAGCAGAAATAAGCCTCTTCCATCGCGTGCCTCGATCCGACCCTCATTAAAGAGACATGTTAGCAGTGGCCCTAAATAAACTGATTTCATGATGACGATGAAGAAGACTCGAAACAACTGAGTACAGAGCAAAGAAACTGAGCCACACTATCGATTTTTATTTCTTTTCTCGTATCCTTTATAACTTAAAAAACATTTTTTATGGGATAAAGCCGGTAAACGAGCAGACGGATCACCTGAGGTAAGAAATCGACGTCGCCCATGGACATCTGGAACACTACAGGCGTTACCAGTGCGTTACCAGCCTTTTGGGGATTAGGAATTGAGGAGTTTTGGGATTCAGGGATTGGGGATTGGCAGGGGGGAGGTAATTGGGCCTCCGGTAACCTTACTCTCACGACGAAACACAACGCAAGTGTCACGTCAGTTTTCTGCTCGGCCGTGGTATTACTCCGGTCGAGCCGGCCCATTCGTGCCGAAGCATGGCTTTCCTACACTAAAATATTCCTTTTAACAACAAAATGCTCTCATTTGCTTTTGCCTTTTATACGACACACGTTGCCAATTAATAAAATAATGGCATCAGAAAATATTTATTAAGAAATGAAAAATAAAATTGCTAGTGGCTTCGTTTCTTTGCTTCCAAGTTTATAATGCAATAATTTAATGTTCAATGTAATTGTTTGATGAATTAAAACATAAATAAGTATCTGTATACAAGAATTACCTTCATCAAAAATATTAGTGGGAACGTGAACACAACTGGTATTCGTGTTAACATTGATATTGTAGAAATGTGAATCTTTTTCCAGCGACACGTTGGTATAGTGTGTGCTGTTTAACACGTACTTCGGCAGTTTGTCCTCACTGTCGGGATCTGGATCATCATTTTCATCTTCATAGAAGAACTTTGAATATTTTGCTGAACAATAGTCATAAGGAATAGATCTATCATAGGTATAGTTGAAGTTTCTCGCCAAATCTTCTGCTGTCGCATGAATGCACTAAAAGTAAAAATGAGGTCATAACCACACAGTAAATAATAAAATACGATGTAGACTAAAACATTTATAGCTGGGTTAAATTTGTTTTTAACCTTTTGACCGCCCGGGTAAAAAAAGCTTGCCCTCGGCGCCGCGCCCCAAAGTTATGTTAACTGGAAATTATTACTTTTTATACCAAATAGATCAAATGTAAAGAAAGCAGTCCTTTCATATAAACTGGAAGAGTCAAGATGCTATTAACAACATAAGTAAATAAAGCAAAATATATTGTAAGACTACTTTTAAAATTATGCCAGTCAGTCGCTATTTTGGTTTGTATATTTGGTACATTTCTACCATGGTTATCACGTTGTTAAGTTGGCGTTAGCAGGTACCTGTCTAGTCCACTTAGCAATTAATAGTGTCATGCGATTAAAACCGCAACATTAAAGTATTGCGGAGTGCTCAATATTATCATTAAATTAATGTCAATGTGGAACACAGATTAAATAAACAGCTAGATAATAGATAATGCATTAAAACGTTTTATATCTATTAATACAATTTGTTTATGCAAATTATTCTGTAACTGACCTCTGATATAATTCAGAGTAAATAATAACATGAAGTGGGTACTATTTAATTGCTAAGGGATCACCAATTTTGGATTAAGTAGTGTGCCTACTTTATTTTACCGGAGGCCCAATTACCCATCCTTCCCCAGTCTCCCCAATTCCTGAATCCCTAACAATCCTCAAACACCTAATCCCCAAAAGGCCGGTAACGCACTTGTAACGCCTCTGGTGTTCCAGGTATCCATGGGCGACGGCGATTGCTTACCATCAGGTGATTCGTCTACGCGTTTACCGGCTTACCCCATAAAAAAAAACTTATTACATTTATTTTGACATATTGAACATACATCAAATTATTTATCAATAGACTAACAGGAACCTAATAAATAGTAGTGAAATGGACCTCAAAATTCAGTTACACTTACAAATGAATATTACCTAATGAAGTACCAATGGAATGTGCGTAGTAACACAGTGGATGCATTAGTAAACTGAATTAATTATCGAATGCCTACATTTACTACCACCGAGCTAGCTTTTAGTCCTGGTCAGTACACGGGGCGTTATGTAATGATGTCATATAAAAGTTACGACTATGGTTTACCTTGACAGCATTGATTTTGCGAGTGAGCATATTGCTCACAGAACGAAGCGAAGACTCCAATATTTGTTTTCCTTTTTTACTTTTCACGCTCGCATTCATTTGTTTGTATTTCTGCGAATAAATTACACGATTGATATGACATGTATGGAGCAAACGTTTTTAATAAATTGCGTTATTACATGAATTTGTAGACAAAATCAATATCTACGCATTATACATAGTTTACTGGCATAGAAATATTATTTTACTCACGATTCTGATTTGATCTGATTTTGTGAGAGCTTCACTTAACTTCCATAGTTCATCTCCAAGCGCTCTCGCCCATACTTTTACTCTACAAAGAAAAATGTTTGATAAACAAGAAAATATAAAAGAAATCCTACACTAATTACAAATTAATAGAGCTTAATTAGGAAATACGGGATGTTTAATATTCCGCTCGTCTAAGTAATAAGCGGCTGTGAAATTACAGGGTTCTTTGTACTCTGTGTTGCAAAAAAACACCTCAGCCTTTCTTAATTTAAAATAACTACGACGTTTGACTTATCAGAAGTTTATTCCCTAAAGAGTTGTTTTTGTCTATTGAAGGAGTACTAAAACTATCAAAAGGTCAATTTTATACATGTTTTCAACGTCTATAAATAATATTTAGTACAACTTACAAAAAAAAAAAAAAATAATACACATGATTTAGGTTCTCAACTTAGTGAAATAAGTAGACGTATTTTATACGAAAAGAAATGAAGAAAACAATATTGGTGATTTTCTTTTGCAAAGCCGTATATTTGTGAGCAACCAGGGTCCGTAATGAGGTGCAAATAAAGGTCCGTACATAATGGTCCACAAAACAAAGGTTTCTTCAGAAAAGCTGTGATTTATTGTTCAATAAATGTGTAAGGGCTGGAAGGGACACCGCGGTGCAAACTTATATAATGGAGACAAACTTCTCTTCATAAGACACTTGAATTTCAAATATTTGCTTTGTCTTCGCTGAGATATTTTAATAATATTGTAACATGAATTTTACCAAATAATTAATTATTTGATGAAAAATGTCGTATATTTTGTATGCGAAAGTACAGGTAGGTATGAACTTTTGAAAGACGGTCCCTTCCACTTTCAGTAACCCGAGGTCTATAAGTATGATGTTCTTGAATGTGCGTCACGTCTCGTTCCGGTGTCCGGACTCGTGTCCGGCTTTGTATCGTAATGTTCTTCGAATAAATTTACTTTGTAACACGTACTCTACGCGTAAACAGAAACTTTACTTGTTTATGTTTTGTCTCTTTCACAGTGCTCCTCATTACGTGTTTTGTAGAATAATCAGACAATTCTGAAATTTAGAAGTATGAAACGATAGTTGATAGCTAAATAACACTTCTGAAAAGTATCTGTTTGTGACCGTTTAGTTTCAAAGTTAATAAATTATTCAAACTGTTTTAGCTAGATGAGAACCCGCGAGGTTTATGAGTGTATGGAGTAATAGATTTCATAAATAACAGATTAGACTTACGTGTCTGCCTTCCAGGCGGGGGCAGGCTCCGGTACAAACAGTAATGCACATACTAACACGAACTTGAAACTTTGCATATCTGCGGCGGTGAGTCACACTCGCTTACAAATATTTATTGCGTTCCGTTTCGTTAAACTACGCGAATATTACAGGATAAGGCACATCGTTTCAGTGTTTGTTACATAAATAAGGCTCTTCACGATACATCACAAAATATATTCCTCTAAGCTGCTAATAGGCTAAACACGAATCTATGACAGATAAAGATCAACCAAACCAAACGGTATCAGGAAGCTTTCCCGGTAAAAGATAACGAGCAAGGCCACTACGATTCCGGAGCACAGTAAACATTCAGTCACTAAATACTTTCACGTTAACGAGTTTATTAATAGTTTACGTAGAGTTTCGACTTGAGTTTTGTCGTCCATTTACGCGGGGGATCACAACACGAGTTACATGGTTGTCTTATGAGAGCGTGGCTTTAGATATCTAGCGTGACAGCGTGTGCGGTGAGCGGGACGCTGCTGGTGCGGGCCGGGTGCGAGTCGAGCGCGAGCCGAGCGCGAGCCGGGCAGGGAGCGGGCGCGGGCGTGTGTCGCGGCCGACGCACGTGCTGCGTCTATTCTGGGCGGGCGCCGGCGAGCGCTTCGGGCGGCATCGAGCGGACCCGATCTAGGTCGGCCCGTGTCTGTCCACACACTGCTACCGGCGCGCATCCTACCCAGTCGCCCGCTACTACTTATAATTATAGAAATTACAACTTTTTGTCTCTACGACCGCACGGCTTCTTAGTTACGCCGTCACTTCTATTGTCTTTACAAATTGAAGCTTATAAATACTTTACGGATAGCATTCGCAGTTTACGAATGAAAGTACAAATTATTATTCAAATTAAAAAAACACTTTAGGTAAAACTTGTAACTTAATTAAGGCTTTCAAGATCTTCAAGATCAAGAATCACTAAGCTTTCAGTAGTACCTATTTTACAACCTAACTTCCAAAAGACAATCGGTTCAATATCTTGCGCGATATGGAAAGTTCGAATCACCAACTGAAACAAGAGATTAGTTATCTGGAAATCAATAGTGGTATCTATTTTCGTTACATTTGTATGCAGCGGCACTCATACACTCGTCATGTTTTTATGCAGCCAAGAAACTTTCATGATTCATATACGAAGTAATATTTTTACATTTTTAGAAGCAATCCGTAGATTTTTTTTAAATGTTCATTTCAACTCACTACGCTGTTTGTAGCGATGGCTACGCTTCGTAGCAACTGCCTACGGGACCTTATATTGAAAGCATGGACTTTATTTACACTTATTGTACTCCTTGATTGTATTTTAATTAAAGCTCATAATAATTATGAAACATATTAAGTACAACAAAAACTGCGGTTCAACCAATAAAAATCAAAGGTCTACTAGTTTCGTGGTAGTAGCCGTGGTTAATTTCATTTGAATTTTTTTTTTCTTCTTAATCTTTTATTTTTAGGAATAATTTTATTGTACATACCTATTGTTCGCATACTTTTGTAATTGATTTTTTGCATGGCAGTAAAATGTTTACATTTTTTGTTTCAATACTTTTTATCAGAGTACAAAGGTAATTCAATATTCATCCTTTTAGCTTTCAATGCATAAAGCAATTTGCTGCCATTACTTCTGTCTGTAACAGACATCTCGTTAAACTGGAAATGATGGACTTAGTTGTAGGAAATGTCTTATAGAAGTGTATCGGACATTATCTACAGCTAAAGTTGCATTATGCATTCAACTTCTAAGTAATGAAATCTTTCTTCTACGCGGTCTTATTTTTCAATTGAATTTGGTGCCCATATACGGAACTCGCTCAAAGCGGCAACGAGTCAAAGTCTTTTTTGAGGGCAACTGTTCGATATTATTCAAAAAAGAGGACGTAGTTATAGCTGTTACAAAGATTTGTGAGAATTTTGGCGTAGTGGCCAATCCCGTCTGTTAAGCAACAAAAACTATGTGAGCAAAGGACACCAGAAAAGTTTTATCTTTTTGTCACCTGCCTGTTATTGTGGCGCAATTTTGCTCTCGCTCTAACTTAGCAATATGACGTTAGATGTTATCTAATCTCAATAAAAGTATACAGGTACTAATCTGCGGACCTAAATGTGCAAGGACGCAAGGTTAGGGCTTCATTACACCGCGTGAAATAAACCGATTTAATATGCGGAGGGTGTCGAGTGGGGCGTGTAAACATTACTTATAAACATTCGGTTGGGTACACAACACCGCGGCGGCCATAACAACCTGCCTACATTATTTACACTTGAAAGTTTCGCTTTTAAGTGGATCGTTATCTTTACGGCCTTTTACAGGATAAATATTACGCACCGTTTTTGATATACGGTGGCAGTGTTTGATGTTGTCTGTTTATATTTGTAACTGTTTTTTATACGAGTAAACAGGTATGTTTACTGGTAAGTCAAACATATCTTAAATAGAGTTTACCAATAAATGTGGCGAGTAATTGCCCTCATACCTTATGAGTTTCGAAATACACATTATCTAAGTACACGAAACGTACATAAAATTATATTCAATTGCTATAATGAAGATAGATCAAAGGTTTATTTTCACAAAAACTCAAAACACCTACGGAAACAATTGATAAAATAAAAGTAAACAAAGCATGAACTTTAATAAAACCGTAGAAACACAAAATAAAATGAATAATAGAAAAAAGACAGAATGTTCTCGGAAAATTGAAGACGTAATGATCATGGATTTCCGAGAATTTATTGTACTCGCTCTTTGTCGAGAGGTATTTCTTCGTGCCTTAGTGTGGAGCAATAAGAGGAGCGTTCTGACTGATGAAGTTTAAGCAAGCCATTATTATTCAGCCCTCGTCCGTAATTGTTACTTGTAAAATACGCTAACAACGTCGAGCGCAAGATTTGTTTCTGTGAATCAATCCAGTTTGTGTGTACAATAAATTGAAACAAACAAGTATTTGTTCTCGCCTCTTTAAGCTAAATTACTGTTTACCTAACTAAAAGCTGTTGTCTAGTAATGAAACTTTCGACTTTGTTTTTCTGCCGTATCAGTACAAAACTTTCTTATTTATTTTGTAATCCGACCATTAAAATTCATAGCTGAAATATTTAATACACTTAAAATTGAATCAGGGTTTTCCAAGTCGATGAAACGTTACATCGCAATGAGCCAGCGACGGATAGCCGCGGGGCGACGAATGCATTAATTTAATAGTCACCCTAGCACTCTGCTCATTTCTTGATGACGTCATAAATACCAACAAGAAGCTTACTGCTATGAAATGGAATCGTACAATATTTTCACTTTGCTATAGCTGTACGTACGTACGTACTTCGTATATATTTGTTATGGTTATAAGGCTTGGCGGTGGACGATATCGATCTGTGCATTGAGTTTGGCAAGTAATATCAGTTGAGCTGAATATGTCTTTGTATTAGTATCTCTTTACGGAATATGTGAACCATGAATGGAACAAAAGGAATATTTTTCAAGCAATGTATTAATCTTTAGCAGATATTATCGTAGTCATGTCATAAGCTGCAATGTATTATTAGATATTGTATTCCACAAAATCATATTATTAATCTGATCACACTAAGTGAATTGCAAAAAAAAAACTTAAATATATTTACTTAAAATAGTCTAAAATTATATTTTAAAATCCTACTTCAAAAATTAAAAAATATAAAGGTGGAGGAGGAATATAAGAGCCCACCACCAGTAGCGGGAGCATGGTCCAAGCTACCGGTGGTAGTATATGTTTCATTATAATTAAAAGTACTTTTGTAGTCCTGCTGTTATCACACCGTTTTTCTGACAGTGTGGAAGTCAAACTTAACTTTTCTTGGTGCCTCGGAGGGCTTAACGGGTTGCCGGGGCTCCGGTTCGAAGCGCAGGAGTAGGAATGGGTTGGTTTTTAGTCAGTAAGAGCAGACTCTTACTGACTAAAAACTAAGCGAGGACCAGAACACTCGCTCTCGCCTCACCCGGGCGAGAGAAGTCATTAGATAATTTTCCCCCCTCAAAAAAAGGCTTAACATTTCTTTCCTTCCCAGATTTGCGAACACGAGACTTGAGATAAACTTTTATAGGCAAAATCTTTTTTAGAGCGAGGTAAGTATTTTCAGGGATTATCTCCTCCACCTAAAATTACGAATAGTATCTTTACTTTATCTAATATTAACGTATTATCTCCAGACAGATTTACCACCAGTAAATGTTCGCATAAATCTCAAGTACCTACGCCATATAGTATACTTAGACTACATAAATTACGTAAGCTTCAGTATAAGGCTGTAAGTACACCAGGAGGTCAACAGGCACCTTTGTATGAAAGCCCACACAACTGAAAGCAAGGGTAGGCTTGACTTTCTAAAGCAAGATTTGCGTTCCAACATGAATTCCTAATTACCTGGTTAATGGCTTTCTCAACATCTTTTCGGTGAATGAAAAGGTAAGGTTAGTCATCATTTCAGATCGAAAAATCTTTTTGTCGTGATATTGAATATACTCGAATTTAATCTACTTATGCGAATGGACATTCACTGAATCCATCAGGTAAATTAATACAAGAAGTTTTTATAAGTTTTTATTAATAAGTTTTTAGGAACAAAATGCCATATATGTAGGTAGGTACTCTCTCAACTTTGTACTACCTCTTAAAAGGTTTCCAAATAAAGTAACCTCCATGAAGGACCCAAAGCATTTTGACAGCTCCCGTGTTCAAGTTTGGAATTCAATTTCTTCTATAAATCTTAAATAATGCTCCTAAATGACTCTTGAGTTTTATTTTCTTTAGTTTTTATTTGACTTGGAGCGTATTGCTATTACTTGTTTGTCAGGCGCATATCAACCATCCATTTACCTTATAAAATAAGCGATGAGTGCAGTGTAAACAGTAATAAGTACTACAATTAGCATTGTATCGATCGAAGATACTTGATTAACTAGATTCCAAACTTGTAAGATCTAATTGGCCGTAAAGGAAAGTTTCGCCTTATCGCTACAAGGATCCAATTCGAAATTGATGCCGTTAAACTAAGGAAGACTTTAACATAAAACATCTTGTCTGTAACTAAGTTAAGAAAACGAGCACTCTTCCTCTCCCTTATTAATGGGTGCCGTGTCCGAAGGGGTTCACGGTCGATACTTTTTTATTTAAAATGTAGGTTTTACCTGCCTGTAAAATTCGTGTATACCTACAATTCTTATATAAATACGTGTGATATAAATTAGCTATGTAATTAAAAGTTTCATGAAGTATTATTTAAAACATACAGCATTTATAAGTACCTACTCGTAGCACTGTTTAATAGCTGGTAAAGAAAAGAATAGGTTCTATAGTAGGAAACAATATTATATTATTCCTCTTGGAGAAATAACGAACTTGAAGTAACATAAAACAAACTTTACCAAATAAAGTGGCACAGAAACAAAAACACGAAGCACTCAATTCGTACAAAAATTCAATCAAAAGTGTACGTTGATTTAATATTCCCGATAAGACCCACAAAAAGCTTCAATCTCCTCGAAGAAAAACAAATCGTAACAGAAGGAATCATACTCGGGGCTCCCACATCGCAAACACATATTTCCAATCCCCTAAGAGTTCAATACAAACAACGCTTTTAGTTTCACAAAGCTTTCTCGTCGATAAAACTATTTTAGTGCTACCTTTTGTCCTAGATTTCACTTTAA